ACCCAAATAAGCGTATTGTAGAAAGTTAGTGTCGATCAAAAAATTGGTTCAAAATCGGATTTCATGAGAAATGTTTCAAAATCCACAAAAAGACACGTGAAATCAGAGAAAATTTGAATTGTTTCACTAGGTACAGAATCGGTTTGCCTACCGATTTTGTCCCCTCTCGTGGCACAATTCAAATAATACTTGATTTTGGCGTGACCTCTTTTTCCTTTAAAAAAGTACAAAATCGGGAGACAAACCGATTCTGTACCTGTAGAAGAAAAGAATGCACAGAGCAACAAGGAGTTTAAAGTGCAGGAAGATTGGTTGTCACCTGGATTTGATAATACTACTACACTGTCCAATTTCAATTTGTCCACCTATTTTTTTGTTCAATATCATTTTCAGATCCATCAAATAAACATTTTCTATAACTTTGACTAATTTCTGGAATATTCATACAGAAAATTTCTGAAAAATAAAAAGGCAAGACGAAACTGGACGAAATCTGTCGAAAAGACAAACTTTTCGAAAAACTTTTGTTTTTTTCTATTAACTCTGTTCTTTTTGTACATAAAATTTGAGAAATTCCGGTTTTCAGAAATGAGAAAAAAAATTCTTCAAATTTCTACCGTCTTATATCTTTCACAGAAATTGAGATATTTAAGCTCAAAGTGGAAGTATAGGATTGGCGGCGCCCACCGCTTAACAGATTTGAGCTCAATAATCTCGTTTTCTGTAAAAGATATTAAAAACTTGTTAATTAATAAAATGTTGCTATCATTATAATAAACATTTAACCAATGAAAAATTTTTAAGAAGCGCACACTTTGAGCTCGATTATCTCGATTCCTAGGGAAGATATGAAAGATCTCTCAACTGATAGAATGTTACTGATATTATGACAAGAATTTTATAAGTTGACAAGTTTTTAATATCTTTGACAGGGACCGAGATAATTAAGCTCAAAGTGCAAGTTTTAAAAAATGCCATGGAGTATTTTGAACGTTTTAGGACTCCAAAAACCAGGAAGTCAAAAAGTCTTGATGCCGAAAACCTCAAGCAAATGCTACATTTCGAAATCTCAAAATCTACCGTAATCCCTGCCTGGATTCCCTTGCTAGACCAAGAAAATAAAGTTTGAATGAAATCCAATCGGTTCAATTCCATTGTTTGCAGTTTCTATTGGTTCATGTCTGGACAAAAAGTGTTGCAACCAATTTTTTTCAAACTACAGTATCTTTTGTTTCCCGTAGATCAAGTAGATCAAATTTTTCTATTCAACAATTGACTCCTTTTTTCTCTTCTCATTTTGTTTCGAAATTTCTCAAAATCTTCTTCTTCTTTTCTGCTCAATATAACCCGTCAAATGTCAAATAGAGATTTGTCACTTTTTCCCTTTGGGACCATTTGGCTCGTCGGCGGTTTTTGGTCGCAAAAAATGAGACTTATGCACTCTTTTTGACACCAAAAATTAACTAGAATTTTTTAAACGTCTTTTTGAATTCAAAAAAATAAACTAACCTGAAATAGTAATGGCCAGAAAAGACAGGGTTTCGGATGGTGCAGAAATGTGACGGGGATGGAGAAAAACAGGGTTAGGCAATGGGAAACACACCACAGAAGTCGCCCAAAACCTGGAAAAAATTTTAAAGATGCGTGGGAAAAATTTTTTGGGGATTTTCGGCACCCAATCCCCGCGAAGATTACCGAAAAGCGCGCAATAAACTACCACAACACACCCTTTTTCCGCATGTTGCACGCGTGGCCAAGTGGTTAGCGCCGCCGTTTTGTAAGCGAGAGGTCGCGGGTTCGATCCCCATGAGGCCTTTTTTCTTTTTTACTTCTTTTTAAATCACTTTTTCAACGTTTCAAGATCCTCACCTCCATCCAGGTATTCTGCCACACATCCTCGAATACCCCATAGGTAGTGAAACAACCGAATATCGAAGATAACAGCGTCTACAGCTTCTAGAGGCAGACTTCCCTCAAGGAAGTCACATTTTAGAATCTGAAAACAGGAGAAATTTAGAAAAAAAAGGGACTAGAAATTTTCTAGACCATTTACCTTGCTATGCGTCATATAGGAGTTGATATGCTGAGCAACGGCCCAGCAGCAGACCAGTAGTTGAATGAGAGTGATACAGAGGCAGATATGTGAGTTTAGGAATCTGAAAAATTTTTAGATTCTAGAAGTTTTTTTTTGGTTGAATAGGACGTTAGAAATTTTTTAAATTATTTTTTTCGCGAAAATCTGCAAAAATTACTGTCGATTGGTCTAGAAGGTTTCAACAAAATTTAGCTCAAATAACTCAAAAATTCCAGTTTCTCGAAATTTTTGACGATTTTGGGACTTTGTCAAAATTTGAATTTTCGCCCTATGATTAGGCTATGAACATTTGGCGCCACGATCCACTTCCTGCCAGTCTCATTTCTCGCGCCTTTGTCTACGCCCTCCGCCTCCCATTCCTCCATGTGGCCGCGTGGCGCAGTGTCTGCGATTTTGCCTCTCGTTCAACACCTCGTGGGTTCGACCCCCGAGTAGACCAAGTTTCTTTTTTGTCTTTTTTGAAGTTAAATAATCAAAGACTCACTGATAACCGACAAGCTTAGTGCATTCGTCGCGCACTTTGAGCAACGCCATCCCGTTCCAGCCATCATTTGCTCATCCTATGGGGTGGCCGTGTGCAGTGTATTAGTTTCCGGAGTTGGATTTCTGTCAGAAAAATTGAATATAAGGAAAAGGCAAAGGCAAAATTGACATACACACACAAAAGATTTGAGAAATGTGTCTATGTCAGAGTCTAGATATCCCTATAAGCAAAACCACACATGCACGGATAATCCTATTGAAAACGTGTTGCGGCTGGTGATGGAGGTTAGGAGGGAGCAAAATGAGCAGATTAGTTTCAGAAGTGACCAGAGAGAATAGGCAGAGAGAGGACACATACATATAAAAGGACAAGAATTAGTGACACGGAAGAAAAGAAAAAGAAGAAAGGGGAGAGAGGAAGGAAAAGGAATTTAATTGAAAATTGAATCTGGTTCAGGTCAAATTGAAATGTTCTCTTCTCCCCCCTCTTTTACCTTCTTCTTCTTTTTTTTGGAAAATGAAATCTTTCCAAACAAATTATTTTGGATTTGGCTTATGGGCCCTTCCTCCTCACTCAACAATTCCGCGCCTCACATATACGCCCTCCACACCTTTCCCGCAAGCTGACCAGTGTGGCCGAGTGGCTTGCGCTTTTGCCTTAAATCCACAAGGTCCGGGGTTCGAACCCGGCCTCGTTCAAAATCTTTTTTTAAGCTTTTTAAAAGACATAGAAGATGAAAAAACGATGTGGAAACAATTTTTTTAGTTGCTCCTGGCTAATTTGTCATGCAATTGCGATGAGCTCAAAAGAAGAGCAGAGCGAAAGAAAAAGATGGCTTTATTTTTACATTTTTGCTATTTATTTCCGGGGGACAAGAGACAAATGACAAATGATTAGTAATTCATTCTGTATGAGGGGAAAAATAAGGGCAAAAATGAGAGATAGAAAAGTTGTGTTTTTTCAAAATTTTTGAAAAAATTTTTTTAGAATCTTCTTCCAGAAAACTCGTGGTGGGAAGATAAGAAGACTAATACATAGTAAGAGCTAATTAAGGAAAAATAGAAATAAGAAAAAAATAGATTTCTATCAAAAACCGGAAATTGGATCCCAGAAATTTTTTTCTTCATTCTTCTTTCCTAAAAAATCCTGCTTTTTTGGGATCGACGAAGAGGCAAAAAAGTATCTGCTGGTGTTTGAAAACTAAACGGACGCGACATTCTTCTTTTAAATTTTTTTTTGCAACACCCCATCTTTTTGGCCCTCAATTGCCCCAAAGGAATTGCAGATCTGGGTATCTTTGTTTTTTGTTTCTACAAAGTGGGGGAGGACTTGGGAAAAAAAATGAAGTGTTGCGTAGTTTAAAAAGAAGAAAAAAGAGTTTGACACTTGGTGGGAGTCGTACTTGCGGGGCTCAGCTTGGAAAACAGCCAGCCGGCCACACAGTTAACAAGTGAGAACGGAGGTGGAAGGCGTATAGGAAGGGGCGCGTTTTGAAAGGTGGGGAAAAAGATTGGGGGGAATTTTGAAAAAAACATTTTTCAGCAAAAAGTTCAAATTTAGCTTCAAAAAAGTAATTTGACGACATTTTAAGGGAAGAGTCTACGGAAAGCTAATTTTGTAGTCAAAAGAAGATTTTTTTTTGTTCGTGTTTCAATTGAATATTCATATGGACATGTTGTATACGGGGTAGAAGTTATAAATTCATATAGATTTTCTATAGAATATGAAAGAGTTATAAGGCGTAAATATGTGAGAAATTTATACCTTTCTGATTGGATTTTCGATTGGTTTTGTTGTCGAGACCTGGAATCGTTTGACTTTTTCTAGGAATTTATATTGTAGTCAGTTTTCTTGGGGAGAATTACTAATTTTGAGAGAAAAGAGCCAATATAAATAACTTTGAGATTATTCCTTGGTAGTTATGACATTTGAAAAGATTAAAAAAATTAAAAAAAGTTTCACTCTTGGTGGGAGTCGAACTTGAGAAGGTCCGATTGGAAAACAGGAGCGTTAGCCAGTCGGCCACACAGCGCATGATTGTAAAGAAGTGGTGAAGGGCGTACAGGAAGGAGCGGGTTTCGGTGGATGATTGAGAGCAATCGAGTAAATTTTTACAAAATCTAAACAGAAATATTTTTGAAAAAAGTTCAAAAATAGTAATTTTAGGATATTTTAAGGAAAAATCATCAAATTCTGACCCAAAAAAAAACCAAAAAAATGGGGAAAAAAACGGAGAAAAAAACGGCTCTTGAGCGTGGGAATTTGATTAACTTTTTTCTTTTCAAACAATGAAAAAAATATGATGCCAAATTTTCTGATCTATAAAGATAAATAAGAGTTTTTAAAAGTTTTTTTTTTGAACACAAAATCTGAGAATCTAAAGTTCTGTTTCTCTATAGAGCGCATCTGCAGCAATTTTTTTTTCAAAGTTTTAATTCAAAAAAATTTTTGGGTGCGAAAAAATTTATTTTCAAGTCATTCTACGAAATAAATATTGCACATTTTGGAAAAAAAAAACAAAAAAAATTCCAAAAAAAAAAATTTTTTTTTGGGTCTTACAACGAAAAGTAGGCGGGGCAAGCAAATTCTAATTTCAGAAAAAAGAGGAAGCAGTGTTGCTGGTGGTGGGAAAAATGCAAAAACTCGTAATTTCAAATTTTTTGGGACAAGCTGAAAATGCGAATAAATATTATGAAAAATTAGGGGGCGGGGCTTAGAAAAAAAAAGTGGGCGGGGCTTGAAAGATTTTGACGGGATTCGTGTGTCATGGTAGAATAGAGACAAAGAAGATTATAATTGATGGGGAGGGAAAAATAGGATATTGGTGAAATTTGGAAAAAAATTTTAAAAATACAGTAACCCAAACTACTCCGACTTCAAAATCGCTGGATTACTGTAGAATCCGGTCATTGGAAACGGCAAGAACGCTCCAGGGAATTGAGGCATTGGAATTTGAAGTCCCAGCTGCTGAGCAATAGCCAGAAGCTCTAATGGAGAGGTTACTGTAGGGTTTGGGATCAACGATGGCATGGTTGGTATCATCGGAAGGGGAAGAGATGTTGGAGGGGTTACTGTAGTGGCTGGTTCTTCGTTTTCTTCCTTGATCAAAGCCAGTGGAGAGGATGGTTCAACTTCTGGAGTCATGTTTCGAGAGCTGTTCTGGAAAAAAAATCATTAAGAAAGATTTAAAAAAGGATTTGGAGGGGGAAGGAGTCGAACTTGTGAGGGCCCGCATGCAAAATAGCAGAGCAAGCCACTCGGCCACGCGCGCAATACGCGCGCAAAAAATTTTTTCGGAAATCTTCCCAGAGGTCAAAATTCGAAATGTCTGCTGAACTTTTAAGGATTTATGACCCATAAAACATGGAAAACGGGTAATAGACCATGTTTCAAGTGTTGAGAGATTTATGAGTAGGAGAATCAATGGTATAAGGGTTCGTGGGAAAATGGCAAAAAGATAAAATTTGTGAATTTTTCGAAACATTCTGAAGATTAGAAAAGAGTCTGAAGTGGTAAACAAATAGGAAAATGAGTGAATAGCTTCTAGGGATTCTAAGATTCTAAAGTTTCTCATTTTCAGAACCAAAAAATACAAAATTTTGCTTTTCCAGAGACTTAATACTATTCTAAATTTTACCACATAGTCATAAAAAAATAAAAAAGAAATTTGACCCAAGAAGGTTCGAACCAGAGACCCCATTTTCAAAAAGCAAGAGTGTTAGCCACTGAGCCGCGCGCGCATCAGAAGAATATCAGCGTCTTTTGGTAGCCCATCACGCGCTTTTCGCAAAAAAAATCCCACGGAATAAAAACAAACCTCATCATCTCTAGAAGTGGGACTCATACTGGAGATACTAGCAACATCAACGGATCCAGAAGACACTGTAGACGATGCAGATGACGTGGATGCAGCAGACGCCTCAGCGGAACGTCTTCTCAACTCCTTTCGTTTGTTGGCAAACCAATTGGACACAACTTGCGGTGAAACGACTTCTTTTGGCATCAACCCAACGCCTTTCTTGTCCAATTGAAGGACATGGTTACAGGCAGTGGCGATTTCAACACGACGTGGCAAATCTGGGAATGGCGTCTGGTTGAAGAAATTCTCGAGCATTTTGATGAGAATCGGTCGGAAGACGTAGCGTTCTCGCCGTTGTGGAATGAGCTCTCCATCTCCGTTTGTCTCCAGGCGGGTTGATGGGTCGGAAATGAAGGCGGTGAGTTTTTCAGGGTGACGACGGCAGTTCAGGTACCAACAGTAGATGTTTTTACGGCAACGGAGGGAGAGCTCCCGATGGTTTCCGTTGAGAAGTTTTGAGATGTATGGTTGGGAGACACCTGGAAAATGGAGAATATGAGAATGAACCTGAATCATTTGCGCCCGACTACAGGGCATAACTCAGTTCAAACTTGGAATTTCAATCTACACAATGATATTTAATTCGACTATATTTAGGCGGGAAGGTTCAAACTAGGTTGGGAAACATGCGTCGCTCCATTCGGCGGCTTGTAGTTCAAAACTTGTACGAATATAAATGAATTATATATCAACTTATAGCTCTTGTTCCGCTCTACATTTTACTTTTTAAATCGCTTAGAAATTCCAGGTTTGAGCTGAGTTATGACTATTATGACGAGAGAACAGTAAAGGAGACCTGCTAGCCTTTTTGGCGGCGTGTAGTTTAAAACTTATTACACAAATATTAATGTGTTATATATCAATTTATAGCTCTTGCTATGTTCTACGTTTTACTTTTTAAATTGCCCAAAAATGTTGATTTTGAGCTGAGTTATGCATCTTTGAAAAAGGAAACCTAATGCAAGGCAGTAAAGGAGGCCTCTTTTGACGGCGTGTAGCTCAAAACGTATTATTCAAATTTAGTCAAATTATATATCATTTTGTAGAACTCGTTGAGATCTACATTTTCCTTTTTGATTTACCTAGAGATTCCAATTTTGAGCCGAGTTATGCGGTTTCAAAAAATAAGATCCCTAACTAACCTGTCATATGTGCTACCGTAGTCTGTCTCAACGAATACTGTGTAATGAACGTCTTCATATCCTGAATACACATTTCCTCTCCATTCTGCATGAACTCTTCCAATTCACTCGGATCATCCAACGTCGTAATCTCCTTCATCGGCGTTCTCTGACTCCTAATCGGCCTTGGAGCATTTGAGCAAATCGGATGCTCAAAAACGGGGGCGGGGCTTGTGGAGCTAGAAGAGACTTCCGATTTGACGACCATATTGATGGGTGATGGAACGGTTCGGATGTGCAGGGTGGGTACTGTAGAAGTGAGCTGCTGGATGAGCAATGGGTTACTGTAGAGCTTGTTGTTGTTTTGTGGAGTTAGGACTTTGGGCTCTTCGAAGGCTTGGACCACTTGGTCTGATGAGATTCCACTTTCACGAAGTTTTCTGATGAGCTCGAGTTGCTCAACAGTGAAGATCATTTTTCTGGAAAAAAATTTAATCGAAAATATAGAAAAAATTTAAGAACAAGCATGACAGAAGGTACATTTATAGGTATAACACTTTTTTGGGCGTGCTAAAAAAATTATATAGTAAGTGTAAACATGATATGATAAGAGGCAGGCAAGCAACAATAACAATATATTAGTAGATCAAATAATACTATTAGTACTGTTGTAGGATTGGCTTCCTAGGCCATGGACTAGAAACCCAAAAAACAAAAACAAGAAAAAAGTCTCGAAAGTGAATAAGAAGAAGAAGAACTATGATGTGTGTGTGGTCTGGCAGATCGGTTGGATTGTGGGCGGAGCCTAGACCTGGGGGTAAGCGGCGCGCCCCTGAGAGACGCAGATTTCGTCCTCTCGCAAACGAAAAAAGTGGGCGGAGCCGCAAAGTGCAATGTTTACTCCCTGCGGGTGTCTCCCAAAGGGTCTCCCAGGGACACGCCCACTTTTGAAAAAGGTAAAAAAAAACGTTTGGAGGGGCGGAGGGTTGAACTTGGGACCTTGTGGGTGGAAGGCAAAAGCGCAAGCCAGTCGGCCACGCGTGCAGCTTAGTTGATGCAAGGAGAAGGGCGTATAGGAAGGAGGGGGGATGGGAGATCGAGCTGGAAGTGAGAGGAGAATTATGAATTTCAGAAAAAAATAAATAATTAAAATTTGCATTTATCGAACAAAATAGTATGGATAATCAATAAATTGCCAAAATGCTAAAATTCTGCTCTTCAGATATCTTATAAATGTCTGTTACAGTTTTACAATGGAGGGGGTCCCACTAACGTTTACAACTGACACTCTGTGCCAGACATAATAGAACATGCTAGTTTTACGACCTTTAGATAAGAGAGGATAGCGGGGAATATTTTAAGAAAAGGTCCATATGTGAAGGAGCAAAATAAGAAACTGTAGAGATTGAAAAAAAAAGCGGAAAACTAATTTACATCTTCAAAAATGTAAAAAATGTTCTAGAGCCTCTGAAATAGTTCTGATAGATTCTAAATAATTTGAAACCACAGAAAAAAGAATAAAAAAGAAAATGACGATGGGTGGAGTCGAACCCGGATGTCATGGCTCAACGCCAAAACGTTACCCACTCGCGCCATATAGCCCACTGAATAAACTGGAGCGGAAGGCGTACAGAAGGGCGCAAATCGCGAGCGAACAGTTTCTAGCCAGCCAAAAATGGTGTAGTGATGTTTAAGAGATCATTCTGAAAAATGGAAAGTCTTTTTGGGGAAAAAGTGTTTCTAAAACGCATAGCTATTAACTGATAAGAGCACGAGGTGAACTAGAAGGTCGTGATGTCCCTTTCGATTGTTTGTTATATGTATATAGTCAAGAGAGTCACAATGTGATGATCAGAGCAAAAAAATGGAGTGATGTATGAGTATAAAACTACATACTAGAGAAGCTAGTTGAATAGCCTACAAGCTAGACTTCTGAACTTCGTAATCTGATGTACAGTACACCCCGCAAAAAATACTTATTTCGGAATTAAGCCCTAACTGTTTTAGAGCCCTGAAAAAATATCTAGATTTTTTACAATTTGTTTGAAAATTGTAGATTATACTAAACAGAACTAGAGCTACATTTTTGTAGTTGACACCTTTTTTGTAAAACCTGGTCCTGAAGAGATACGCCCCGTGGAAGTGCACCAGTCATGTTAGGGTGGTGGCACCTTTTGAGTAGCTACGCTTCCACGCGGCATATCTCCTCGGGACCAAATTTTACAGAAAAGTTGCCAACTACAAAAATGAAGCTCTATTTTTGTTTACTATAACGAAAAACTTTTCAAATCAAGAAATCCTATTTAAGTATTTTTGTTTCAATTTTAAAAGTGACTACCTATAAACGCTCGATAGCGGTTCAAGTGGGCGGTCCAAGTGGGCGTGGCCTATTTCAATCTTTTCGAAAATTTCAGGGTATACTAAACAAAACTAGAGCTTCATTTTTGTAGTTTACAACTTTTTTGTAAAATTTTGTCTAGACGAGATATGGCATGCGGAAGAGTGTACCTGGGGGAGTCCCAGGGGACAACATCGCACCTAAACTAATCGGGTTCAGCAATGAACAGGGTAATGACCATAAAATTGTCAGGAATCATACAATATGTCCCAGAGGATCAAAAAATGTATAGTACCAACTTGGAAGTAGTCATTTCTGGGGACAAGTGGGTTCACCCAAATTTTGTAGCATCTGGAGGTTGTACAGTTCAGGTTGATGTTAGTTTGAAATTCTCAAAAGTAGCTTCCTGAAAGCCTGACTATGATACTGAAGTTCGATCTTCTCTAAGTTCTGTATAAGTTTTCGGATAATTAGCTGCACAGTTACCGTAAAACCTGCCCCCCCCCCCCGCACGGTCGACTTTGACCTTATTTATCTCGGCTACCGTAGGAGATACCATAAATATGTCAACTAATAAAATTTTTGTGATATTATGAAAAAAAGTTTATTAGTTGACAACTTTTTTATACGTTTGACAGGAACCGAGATAAATTGGCTCAAAAGTTAGGAATGACCGTCTATTACATGTTTTGCGGTAAGCTTTAACGATAACAATCCAGCTAACGTATACTTGAAGCTAACCTAAGAAAATCTATCTTGCCCTAAAACCAACTACGATTCCCCTTTGTCACGATTCACGACCAAACCATAGTCTTGCAGGCCGCACAAGTTCGAATCGTCCTCCTGAAAATTTCACAAGGTTTGCATATTATACCTCTCTCGCACCCCACTCGCTGAGGTATTATCAGTGTTTTATCACATAGTTTGACAACGGTTTGATAATGTCACAAAATGATCAAACCAGCATACAACAGGGAGGAGTACTGAGAACGAGGTGAACTTGTTGCTGGAAGGTTCTGGGTTTAAGCTATGTTGATCTTTAGTGTCAAAGTTCAGGTTTTAGACATATAGGGACCACAGAGATTTTGATTTTGGCGGTAAATGTTTTGACTTCCAGTTAGCTTTGTGAAGCTTAAGCTTGAAAAAAGCTTAGTTTTGCACCCCCGAAGTGTGAGTTTTGTACCCCTAAATCACTTTGTACCCCGTTATACCCCCGAATCGTTGTACCCTCCGAATTTTGTGCCCAACAATCAAGGTTCTAGTTCAACATTTGTACTCTTAGCTCAACAGAAATCTCAGATCTACAGTACCTTCTCCAGATGCTCTAGAACTTTCTAGACCCCACTTGTCGTTGAAATTAGCACTCAGAATTGGCACAATTCCTCAATTTATAACTTTCGAGACAACATTTCCAACAGGTGACTCTAAAACTCTATTACGATACTTGCCCCCAGCGAAGCTATCCGTTTAAGTGTGAACTTGTTCCTGGGGAAAATTCCTCAACTCGAAGTTACTAATTGCTCGGTCAAGTGTCATATTTGTTATTTTGCTCCCAGGAAAAAGGCACTGATCCATGATTTGCACTATAAACAGTGACAATAGAACAGTGACATTTTTGATAGACCTATGACTGTTTCTAGGATAAGTTTAGGGTATTCTTAATGGCTAAAACACTATCCTTGGTGGGGTACGACAGTTCAAGAGCTAAACTACCCAAATTTTGATTTTTTTTGGGAAAACGGGCGATGGAAAAAAATTAGGGAGCCTTGACATCGAATTCCATGTTATTGAGAAGCTTCTGAATCGATTGATCAAATATGTATTCCAAAATTGATTCAAGTTTTTTAAATTTGGTGGTAATCGATAGTCAGTATTCTTGACTCGAAAAGAAAAAGGGGCTTGTAAGCTTCATGTTAAGCTAGCTCTATATTAAAGATCCCGAATTTGTGGGCGTGTAGATCAGCCGGCACCTTTAATCGATAATATATGATTTTGAAATATTGTATCATACGTTACAGTACCTATAAGAAATTTTCAATTCAAAATAAGGAGATGGTTACCAACGTACCATAAAGCCTGTAATAGAAGGGTCCTCTAATTCCAACTTTGAGCCCATATATCTCGATTCTTGCATAAGATATCAAAAAGTGGTCAACTAATAAATTGTTTATCATAATATCACTATTATCTTATTAGTTGACACATTCTTGATATCTTTCACAGGAATCGAAATAAATTGTCTTAAAGCTGACAGTGTGGGGGCCCTTCTATTACAGGTTTTACGGTAACTAGCTTAACAAACAGGTGTAGTATGTTTTAAAAACAAAAAACACAGTTTAATCTTTCTTTTTTCTAGACAAGAGACAGGTGGGTAAGTAAATACCTAAACCTTTGGGGCAAAATGGGCACAGGTGGGCCGCAAATGAAAACATAAAGCTTCTTCAAGTCCCTTACATCAACTTTAACCAAAATTATCTCGGTTACTGTAACAGATACCAAAAAATGGTTAACTAACAAAATGTTCAACATAATACCAAAAACATTTGGTTAATTGATCACTTTTTTTTATCTTTTGAAGGAACCAAGATAAACTAGGTCAAAGTTATAAGGGCCATTATGGGTCCTCAAAGCGCCTCCATGATTTTGGGGTCTCTGACAATGAAGTCCCAAAATAAAGTTGGATCTTTTAGAAATCGTATTTTCTGAACATTTTATTTTATCTCATGTTGGTAGCAAACCGTGTCTAGACCTCCCTCTCCGAAAAATTGTACTTTTAGAATCGCTCTCCGTTGAAAATCGCAGGTGTCATTTCAAAGAAAAAAGATTCAAATTCGAGATAGACCGATATCTAGGAGATCTGCGGAAAAAGAAAGATGCAATGAACTTTTTTGAACCACCCCGCATTTTATACCGTTCTTCTTCTTCCACCACTTTTTATCGCATTTTTTTCAAGGAGACTTGAGACTTGAGTTATCTAAAACACGCATCGAAACATTAGACATTTGGGGTTTTCGTTGAAAAATATCTCGCTAGGATGAAGATTTACAAAAAAGTTATCAACTACAAAATTGAAGTTCTAGTTTTGTTTGGTATACCCTGAAATTTTCAAAAAAAATCGGAAAGTTTGAAATAGGCTC